TATATATATTTTGTGTGTGTGTAGAGGGGTCATTGGCAGCCAGATGGAAGTCACCTGCAGGCTGAATGTGGCCCGCGGGCCCCCAGTTGAATAGCCCTGGTGTAGTAGCTAATCTGACCAACAAATTATGCAGGATGTTGCAATACTACTACTACCGGCTAAAAAAAGGATGTTGCAATACTGCACATAATGCTGCTTTACTGCTCATCCTGCAAATACATGTTCCTTACAAATGTGGCTCCATTTAAAGTGCCTGTGACATGAAATTTTTGTAATAAGAAATGACTGTATTTTTGGAAGGATAACATTGATAACATGTAAAAAAAATTTCATGCCGCTGAGATGAACAGTTGTTGAGATATTTGCATGTGAAGAAACAGGAAGTGATGTCAAAGGGGAATGTCTGCATGTGAATGGAGCAMTGCTWAAATGGCTAACAACACACACTGTAGAGAAGAATGTGATGTTTCTTTYGATTATTTTAATCACTATCATYGAGAGATGAGCGAGTCAGAGTTCAAATAATGTTTCAATAAACAAAGTCCAGGGAGTTTACTTTCTCYAAGAGTTCCCCTTTGATGTCACTTCCTGTTTRACTTCAGCTGAGCCAAGGGCAAAAGAAAATATGCCAGTTATGTGACATAACAGATAAAAACATGTGTAATGTGCCAAGTTTCTTCAATATAAATACATTTTCTTTGACTTTTTGGATTTCATGGATGTCACAGGTACTTTAAAAGGGGAATTAACAAACTTTCCAACAGTATAAGATTTATTGCCAAGAAGTGTTGTTACAACAATAAAAAATAATCTAACACAAATTGTCTTACTTTTTGTGCTAAATTAGTTACAACTCCATCATTTCTCAACACAAAAGGATTTTAGTTTAAAACACCACCACGAGAGGTGATGGGTGCTTCAGAGGATGCTGGTTTTTAAGTGTTTTAACAGAGTTTCGACCAGCGAGCATGTTACCTCTTCACATTCAGCCGTGTACGCGATCCCAGAGAAGACGGACACGCCCACACCCAGGTAGAGCAGCAGAATGCCGACTTCACGATAACTGTGCTGCAGAGATGAGACGGAGAACCTTAGTGTTTCTCACGAGCTGGTGTAAACATATGCGTGTCAATTATTTTTTTATTTTCTAACATAAATAAATACACACATATTCATCATTACCCTTCAGTGTTCACTAATTACATGTTGAATAACATTTTTAATTTAAACTCTCAGCAGACCATTGGAGCCGTGTAACTTTTTCAACATGTAGGAGGGAACAGCACTCTAGGAGCTGTTTCGTGGGAGCAAAGTGCATAAAAATAGAAAAAAAAGAGACACTTTTCGTGTTGCACAACGCCGACAGAGATGGTGGGAGTCACTATTTTAAGAGAGGAGAGGAGAGCTGAGACGCTGGTCCAAGTGTCCTGTAATCCAGCCTCTCTCTGGGGACTCGKTAACGACAGCAGAGAAGAAAATAAAACATCCTCAGTCAGTTTAGTCAACTAAAAATAAAACTCGTCCACCACTTTGATGCTAAATTTACCTGCTGAGTTTCTTTTGTTTGTTTGTACGGCGACGAGTACAACTACGCAAGAGCTTAGAGGAAAAACTAGATTTAGATTTACATCTGGGAATAAAAAGATACAATTTAAAAGCAGGTAATTAATTAAAAGATCGTTTGTTTTCTTTATTTAAACATTCAAACTGAAGCTGTAATTAAACTTGTATTCAGATTAAATAATACAGGGAAGAGTCTGACTGTGGCACGCACTGCTGAGGCAGGTCAAAGGTCAGAGAGTTGATTAAAATGCTTCTGGGCTATAAATAAAWAAATGCATCAACAGCCAGTCAAACAGCAACATTCAGGGAAAATGCTGCGTCTTTCAGAACAACGTCTCAGTTTACACTTCAGATGGTGTTTTATGTTTTCTGCCAAGATAATTCTCCGTTCATCACTCAGGCGGACAGAAACATGAGCTGCAGGTGTGACAAGATCCAGGAGACGATGTTCCTGATTCTTTAAAAAGTTTTTATTTTTATGTAAATGACACGTTTTTCTAAGGGACTGAGATGTGAGACACGTTTTTACGTTAAAACTTTCAGAAAGAAATCTTTCCCACAGCAGATAGTAAATAAATATAGAAAACGACTTAAAATGGAACCAGAGAAATTGCATTTCCTGTGACAATGCAGTGTGAACGCTTAATGKTGAAAGAGATTTGCTGAAAGCTGCTGAAATCAAGCTGAAAAGGTTTAATATCAAAAGTGAAAAATCAGTAGAACGATAGAAATAGGGTTAAAAAAAGAGCCAAAAGCCTCTAAAATGATCAAAAAGAAGCTAAAAGTAAATGAAACAAGTTAAAATTAACAAAGAAATGAGAGTGAAATGTTTCTAATCAGCAAAAACAAGAAAAGAAGTACTTGCAGTTTGTTTTGAAATAGCTAAAAAAGCAGAAACGAGCCTAAAATCGTTAAAAAGTAGCTGACATAGCTAAAATT